TGATCGTTTTCTATCAAAACGGCTAGTGATTACTACAAAAGATCCATATCGAAATCAGAGTCGCAAGTAACTGTTCTGTTGATCCACAAGCGTTCTGGTTTTAACAAAGATAGTTTTGACAATGCTTCAATGTTTTTCTCTGGCAACGATTTAACGTCAATCGAGATTCGAAATCTTTCAGCGAAACCCAGCAACAGAAACTCGACTTCTGGATTCTAAACAACCAAAATTCAAACATCCTGGTGTCAAATTTAAGTAAATTCATGCATGCGAACCCAGGTCCCTTGCGTGAGCTTGTCAGCAACCATCTCATCAAATTCATGAACGACTGGAAAATGTGAAAATATGGTAGGCAAAGAATTGTAGTATTTTGTTTCTTGTTGCAGTTGGTACTGGTTTTGGCGTATTTTTTTTACACCAGCAGTCTTAGTGATTCATTTTTTATTATTTTTGTTTTTGGTGGTTTCCTGGTTTCATTATTGGCGTGTCTATTTTCAACATTGTTTTCTTTGATTAAGCGACAGTTTACCCGACATCTCCTTTTTCTCTTTGTATAATTTTTACAAATTTTCCTTCATTTTTTCGTCGCTTTTTTGAAACGCGATCGTCATTTTCGTCGTTCTTTTCATCATTTAAAAAACAGTTACTTTCGAACAAAAATGTTCGTGGAAGAAGACTAAACCAACCCATCTACTTGTAAACGCTTTTTTGGCAAATCTACTTTATTGTATTCTGCAAATATTTGAAAACTTACTCAAAACTGGATAAAAGCGATAATCTGTAAAATTTTTTAAAACCCATGAGTGAAATTTCAGATTTTGAAAGGGAACAATCAAATGATGTTTCCTCGAAAACTCGCTTAAAGTAATATTTTTCTTTTTATAGTTTGAAATTTGAAATTTCACTCATAGGTTTCCAAAAAATGACAATCTTTGAAACATTTCAAACCCAAATTGTTTCTTCAATAATTTCAAAACAATCCTTAAAATTTAGACATTTTTTTTGCTTTTGTTTGAAAAAAAGTGTAAATAATTGAATTCTCTCTCATATTTTGAAATATTTTGATCTGTTCGAATAAAATGGGGATTCAATATTTTGAAACTGTAAAAAACGCTTGGCAATTCCGGTTATGGTTTTTTATTTTAAATTTGCTTAGACTTCATGGGTGAAAAATTCACCTCTGTATACGTATGCCTCTTCTGCGAAGCTACAGATTCCTATGTTCTTTCGCCATTCTACACGAGTTTTTGCGTGTGTTTCAGTCAGTTATTTCTGAACAAAATTAATATTAATAAAAAGAGCTGATCCTTTTTGATAAAACTTTTATCAAAATAATTACACTTTTTTTTCTCTTTTAAGGAAGAATCACTCAAAAACCTCTCAAAACACTCAATAATTACACAAAAAATCCAGAAAATTTTGAATATCAAGATTTTCAACAAAATCCAATAAATTAGCAAAAAATTTATATTCAAATGATTTTTTCAACCTTTTCTTTACATGACTATTTGTGAAGAATTTTTGCAACTAAAACAAAAAAATCGTGTAGAATGGTCAAAATCGAGGAGGTGACTGCCCTCGACTCCACAGAGGTGAGGTAGGTCAAAAATAGACGAAAATGGAAGCCATGACTTAAAAGTTTCTATTGGGTGTTCATTTTTAAATGACTCACTCAAAAATCACAAATTTTGAAATCATTAGGTGAGCATTGCAGTGATTTTGACAAAAAAATATATCAAAATGATCCGCTCACGTTTAAAATATTTTTTTTTCGAATTCGAATTTTTTCAAAAGAAAACTTTTGTACAAAAATCTGACAAAATTTTTGTTCGGAGAATTCGAAGTTTGTATTGTAAACAATTATTTTGTCAGATTTCTTACAAATTTTTTCTTTCAAAATGTTTTTTCAAAAGAAGAATTTTATACGATTTTCTTATTAAATTTTTCTTCATAAGTTTTCTTTAAAAAGCAACCTACTTCAATTTTCAATGTATGTATGAAGGTTTTGAACTATGTTCAAAATTCAACGTCTGCATTAGGTTTTTGAAGTAGGTAGGTTTT